ATGCTCTAACCAACTGAGCTAACCAGCCAGCCCTGCAGACCCTCTTTACATGAACCGATCAATCTATATGACATCTGTCCATCTTATTTAAAGGGACATCGATAAAGTCGATGAGTTAATGCAAGACATTGCTGACCAGCAAGAACTTGCAGAAGAGATTTCAACAGCCATTTCAAAACCTGTAGGATTTGGAGAAGAATTTGACGAGGTGAGTGATTTCATACAGATCATGTAAGTTTCACAGATGACACCTAGGCTGCCCCTTGATGTGCTCTTGAAGCCTCTGAGGCAAGGAGTATATTGTTTGCAAATCACAATTCTTACCTCTCTAGAGACTTGGACATAGACAGGGCATGTTGTTAACCTTCTCTAAATTCTGGATTTTTTTTTTTTTTTTTGTCTTTTGTCTTTTTTCCGTGTCCGGCAACGGATCGCAACCCTCAGTGTTGCCCCCGTACCGGACCGGGGACTGGCAACGGGATTGCAACCCTCGGCGTTGCTCCCGCGCCTCGCTCAACCAGTGAGTGGGAACCGGTCTGTATGTGGGATCCGAACCCTCGGGCGGGAGCGCCGCCGCACTTCCCAAGCGGCGCACTATCCAGTGCGCCACCGGGCCGGCCCTAAATTCTGGATTTTGAGGGATGCTTTCACTATTTAGGGTAGAAGCTTAGGTAGAGTAAACGAACCTTCAGATCAATAATTGGTTTCAACAAGCAGTTAGTCTGCACTTTTCCATGGTGGGCCCTGAGTTCAGAGCTGGGGGCAGCAGAGGTGACCATGCCCTGGAGAAGTTTATAGGATTTGCCCTCATACAACTCTGACATGAGGTAAAGGTAAAGCCACAGAAGGAGCATTTACATCTGACCCCTGAGTGATCTGTCTGGATGTTGGCCACCCGTCAATTTCTGCTGTAGCAGTTTGAGACTTTGAGTCTTTTAGGTTTTTGAAATTCAGTGCCAACCCCTATTGAAGGTACTTTACTATGCCTTAGATTTGAGTACCCTGAAGGTCAGCTCCTCTCCACTGAACCTAACTCATTGTGCTCTGCTTCCTCTGTGTAACTGGGTAAACAGCCTGCAGCTCTTAGCTCCCAGAATCGGGTTATCATGCTGGAGTTTGATGGACTAGTCAATCAAGTTCATTTCAATTCAGCAAACACTCCTGAGCATTCACCGGTGTGCTCAGCTCTGAGATAAATAGGAATGAAAAGATATAACCCTTCTCCCAAGATGCTCACAGTTTAGTGTAGGACACCAGACACTGTTTACATCAGTGTTACATTCACCAGTAGAAGCTGGTTTAGGATGTTTGAATCAGAGTGTGGAACCTGGAGTGTTCATCTCTCTGATCTTCTAGAAGGGTGTGCGTGTCCACTGAGCATCAGGTAAGAGGCATGGCTGCAGGGGCTGGGATTTCCAGGGAGGACTCTCACTAGAGTGTTTTCTTTTACCAGGATGAACTCATGGCCGAATTAGAAGAACTAGAACAGGAAGAACTAGACAAGAATTTGCTGGAAATCAGTGGACCTGAAACAGTCCCTCTACCAAATGTTCCCTCTATAGCCCTACCATCAAAACCCAGTGAGTACTTCTTATCTAGAATCAGGATATACCCATGATGCCATGTGGTGGGTGATCTTGTGGTCGGTTGGCTTTGGTTTGGATTCTGAGCTTGCCCAGGGTTGTGAACCAGGTAGGATCCATTGTGATGGCTACCTGCCCTTTCCTAGTTTCTCTCTAGAACAGGGTTTCTTAACCTTGGCACTATTGACATGGCCAGATAATTCTTTGGGGTGAAGGGGCTGTCCTGTGCACTATGGATATTTAACAGCGCTCCTGGCCTCTACCCACTAGATGCCAGGAGCAATCCCCCCAAGTTGTGACAAACAAAAATGTCTCCAAACACTGCCAAATGTCCCCTGGTGGAGATTGGGGGGGATCATCCCCAGTTGAGAACCTCTATTCTAGAAACATTTTTTCCTATGTCACCAAACAAGAGAAAGTTCCAGGTACTGTGAGAAAATGTGAGTTTAATTCCAGGACAGCTCCTGCCCCCTGTCTAGTATCCTGTGCTACGCACACCTGTAAAAGCCTGGGTGCTTGGAGGCAGCCCCTGGGGGAAGGAAACAGCTTTGGCTATTTTAGAGACCTGGTTCTATAAAACCTTCATTTCCTTTTTCATGTTCCTTCTCTCCCTTCCCTCTCCCAATATTTCACCCCTGGATAGAAGTATTCTACACAGAACTTCTAGAAAAGGTGAGGCAGTTTCATTTGGCATGAAAGAGAGCAACAGGGAGCAGTGTGTGACCGCATTGTAGTCACCTCTCTCCCCCATATGTAAAGAGGAAATTGCCCCCTAGGCAGTATGTAGATAGAGGCTGTCCAGCAAACTTCCTGGGGGTGTATAGAGGTGGTTCAAGCAACTTGAGGTGGAGTTGGGGGGTTGGCAAGGATTAGATCTCTTGTGGGGTTCTTCCCTCTCTTCCCCCACGTTAGATGCTCTGGGGCTGAGGTCTCATGGGAATCCTGATGGATTCTCAGTGTAGAATCCTTCTTGTTTTGTCTGGCCCTGCTGGGGCGCAGGGGAGGTGCTGCAGAAAGTGTGCCTGGTGTTTTGGAGTTTTACGCTGCAGCTTTTGGGCACCAAGAAGCAGTCTGCTGACAGCCAGGAGATGAGGCTGGCTGCAAGGGCAGGGCGTTTAGGTAGACACCGTGTAGCAGCTAGCACCCGGTCAGCGTGTAACTGGGTAAACAGCCTGCAGCACTGCAACTAGCCCTTCTAAACAGCCTTTTCTCTCTTCACACAGCCAAGAAGAAGGAAGAGGAAGACGACGACATGAAGGAATTGGAGAACTGGGCTGGATCCATGTAACTGGTCCAGCGCATCTGGGCCCAGACAGACTCTGGTGGCCTGCGCAGCGGGCAGGCATGTGCAAGTGCAGGGCAGGCAAGACGTGGTGCAGGCAGGTTCCATCGCTCTCAAATCTCACTCCAAAGCAGTAGGGCCACATCACTGCTCATTCTGCATAGCATGGCCTGCACCCAGCGGGATGGGTGGGGGTAGGGGGGCGGGCG